AATGTAAAATTTAGTGCTGAACAAGTTTACTTAAGAGCCAAAAGCAAGTTAACTTAGTAAAATAAATAGTTATAAACATTTTTGTACGGACGATTTTTTAGTTAAGATTTGTGTAAAGGATTTGCAGAAAGAGTCCATCCTTGAGTTCCTGGAATTTTAAATCTTGAATAAGCAGTTCTTTTATTATTCATTAATAATGTAGCAATTTTTAATGATGTTACAGCAATTCCATTTAAACCACTTAATGATCTTATATAAACTAAAATTATATTATATAAAAAAGTTTTTTTAGTTCCTTCAAGTTTATTAACAAAAAATAATTTTTGATTTATTTTTTCATTAATTGTATCTATAACAGTATCAAATATTAATTTTTGATTACTATTTAAATTCGATAAATTATTTAAAATTTGATTAATTTCATTTTGATTATAATTTTTTTTATTAGCAATTAATATTTGTTATTGATTTTCTTCTAATAAATTATAATTAATTCTTGAAAGTTCTGGAAAATTTAAAAGTTTTAATCTATTTTGAATTAAATATTTTTCAATAAATATGATAGTTTTTGTAATAGTTGATTTCTTACTATCACCTTTATAAATATAATCTTCAATTAATTTATCTACATATTTATCCCAAAGCTCTTTTAAATTTGTTGGTTGATAGTATATTATAATAGAGACAAATAAATATCTTAGTTCAAAAGAATTTTTTTTTTTTTTTTTTATTAAAGCCAATGTTATCAGTAGCTACTGCCTTTATTATGTTTTGGTTAATGCATTATATATGACTTGTACAAGTTAAGTATGCAACTAGCCACATGTGTAACTTTTGGTTACCTATTTTAAGTAGTCCATCCAAGGGTTCTACACTAGCTGTTATGCCTGTAACCTACTAGAAGGGTACCTATTTAAACACTCTGATCCTTATACTACACCCAAGCAAGTAACACCTGGTTTCTGTACAACTAAGTGCCGTCTAACCTAACATTTAGTTTCCTCTTTTGTACATCTGTCAAGCTATTAAATATTTCAGAATACGTTACCTGACTGTAAGGTTCCGGGGTACCTTCTTGTTAACTACCTACCTACTTTACAGAATATTAACAAGGCTAGCCCTTGTAGAATTCACCCAAACCCTAGCACCTACTTCACAGCATATTCCTAGTACTTATAGTATACTCCTGTTTTGTCTCCAGACACCCAATTCAGATAGCCTAGTAGGATTGTGACCTGTTCTTAATATATTGAGTTGACCCGATATCCTTTTCCTCCAGTTCAGTTCTGGTAGCCTGGTTGGTGGTACCCCTCACCTGAGGTTCTTGTCTGTCCAGCTCCTCCACATTGGTATCTGTTTCCTAGGTCTAGTCTTTACAGTGGTACTATCAAAGATCTGTGTTATCTTTCTACTTGGGTCCTTCCAAGTAGGCTTTGATTTCCTAATTCTACAGATTTACACAGCCATAAGAACTTATTTTAGGTTTGCATCACCCAGTACCGGTTTGCATTCTTCTGTGTAACTAAGGTTACACAGATGCCCCGTGACCTGCCAGTCATACTGGTACGACCATAGTTACAGGTATCCTATTCCAACTGATCGACAAAATGCTATCACTGTAATACCATCTATGTATTACATAGGTGATTATTCAAATTTTCACCAGCTATGAGTTTTGAACTTACAACCTACCACTTGGAGGGTTGACAACTTATCCACTTCACTAAGTTGCCACACCCTTAACAAATCTTGATTAAATTAAATTAATTTTAGTATAGATTTTTCATATATACAATATATATAGTATTGGTATTGTTAATTATTAAATAGAATTAAATTCAAACTAAATAAAGTATAAGTATCTTGCCCTGTAATCAAAAAAAGAAAGCAATATAAATTATTAAATTAATTAGTCTAGTAAGTAATATTGTAATAAAAGTAATTAGAATACTTAATCTTTTTTATATGATTATATTATAAAAAATGATAATAAAAGATAGCAATCCTAGTGTAATAGTTAGATTGTTATTTTTTAAATAGTAGGTCTAGAATTTAAATCCTACTAATAATAAAAATTTAAAAAATAATCCTATTTTAGCAACTTGTATAAGGTATCTGAGATTGTAAGTCTGTAATTCTGATTATATTAAGACTAACTTTAAAAGCATGCAATGTTATATAAATAAATTTAGAAAGTATATACTCTATAAGAAGCTCTGTTTGAAAATCCTAAATAGAAAGATAATATAATTTTCAATAATACTACTTGTAAAAATCTTGATCTAAAAACAAAAACCTAGGCTAGATAACCTGTATAAACAAGAATCCTAGATAAAGAGGTTTACCAACCTGACTATTAGTTGAACTAATTAAAAAGTTACATTATACTAAACTAACTAGATTGGTAATCTTCTATACACAATTACTAACACTCAAATCTAAATAAGTCTTAACCATTCTAATTGGTTTAGGTTACAGATAATTAGTTTGAGTTTCTATTCTTTTTATAATATTTTAAAAATTTTAATTAAATATTCAATAAAGATAAAGGTATAGCTTTACTATTAATATTAAAAAAAAATTTAATTATTAATACTACCATTAATTATAATTACTTAAAACCAATTAATTATAATTAATTAACTGTTTGCAGCTGATTTAATTAGACTTTAAAAATTTTTAATATAAAAGATCATCAGAAAGAATTTGTATTACTTAATAAAATTTTTATAAACTTAAATTTTTTTAATAATCAAATATTTAAATTTCAATACAAATCAAATTTAAATCTAAACCTTTAAAATTAAAATAAAATTCAAATTAAGATAAATTCAAATTAATCCAATATTTGATTTAATTTGGTTTTGAAAAACTCTAGTTGTATATGTATACTTATAAAGTTTTTACTAAATAAAAAAAATAACATGTTTATATGTAATATGATAATTACATTTGATTGCTGCAAAACAAAAACCTGTGATTTCAGTTTTTACTGGCTCTACTTTTCAGAAACAGAAATCAGATTCCTGATGAATTATAAAAACTCTATAAAGATAAAAAAATTCTATTTAATGAATCATGTGTCTGATAAGTCATTTCTATAAAATTGATTTCGGAAAACTCATCATTACAGGCTTTCTCTTTGCAGCACTCATTTATGCATATGTCGTGACTCATATCAAAAATCACTTAACGACCCATGATAGTGAATTACATGCATAAACCCGGTACAATACACTAATAAAAAAAACCAATTTAAAATATTTATAAATATAAAAAAAAATTAAATAATTTAATAATAAAGGGAAACTCTATTTTCACCTGGTTAAAGTCACTCGGTAACTTACAATGTTATTTACCTGACTAAAGTTAAATAATATTTTGGGTGACTTTAACCAGTAAAAATAGGATTTCCCATAAATAAACATTTACAATTAAAAAAAAATTTGTAAATGAGTCTATTTTTGTAAGCCATTGTAACTGCCACTTAAAGAATGTGTTTGCTGTAAATTCTCGGGCATGGTGTTATTTCGAATTTTGGCATGAATTAAACTTAATTCTGGCCAAAATTCGAAATAATGCCCATGCCTGTTATTTTGAGAATTTGCGGTAATATATATGGGCCAGAACTATACCATGCATTTAGAGAATAAAGAATATGTATTTATCTATGCATTTAGGAGGTGCTGCATTAAGGGGTCTGACTGTTGCGTATTAATTTTTTTATAAAAATAAAATACGTATATAAAAAAAAGCGTTCTTAAAAAATTGAGAATTTCAAATACTATCGCTATTAAATTTTATGTCTATGACCTCTCATGACTTATGACTGACCTTATGACCTGTTATAACATATGAATTTACCATTACATTATACTACTTTGGTCACGTAAAGTTGGATATGCCCCTTGAATGTCTAACACTGGTATGTCATACGTACGTTTAAGTGCAGATCATTAGTCATTTCATCCGACCGATAGAACAGCAAATTCTAATAAAGCTAGAGACTTTCAATCAGTTACTTATCTGCCTCTTTGCATCGTGATTACTATTTCTAAGAATTCGAATTTAATAAATTTTATTGACTTTTAACTCCAAATTCTTGAGTATATTGTGTAAAACAGTATATGTTCTCGTTTAAAGTTTCTTAAAATGATCATTCCTAAAATAACTAGTGTAGAATCATTGTGAACACTTGAGTTCCTTTGTTGATATGTTAAAAGATCATCATTTTGCTTTAAATCATTGCATTATCTTTTATGCATTAGCATTCAACTATACGATCTATTCAAATAAGTTAATGTTCGTATGTATAAAACACGCAATAATCTGCACTGACTGTCAGTTGACAATAACGTGGAATCACCCAGGACGACCCCCAAAATGTTGAGACGGTTGGCCTGCATTAACTTAATTTAGGCCAATGGTCTTCAAATTTTTAATTCCACCGGAAATTGGTATTTTTGATTTATTTATTTATTTTAGGCCGGAAATTAGTAAATTTTTAGCCGGACTGTGCCATAAGTACGTCGTAACATTTTTTTGGGCCGCCTTGACGATAGTGTGAGGACTGTTGTCTGTCTTCAATGAAATAATTATTAAAAGCTCTAGAGCCTTCACTATCGCTAATATTTGTGCAATAATTTACAAAGCCATTTTTAATGACAACTTATTTTAGTATTAGACACATTTGATCGTTATGAATAAAAAAAAACCTGTAACGGTAATACAATCATCATGACAAATAATTAGTATTTGGGGGTAATTAATATATCCGCCTGCAATAAGAGTAACTTTGATTCTCATAACATTTGACCTTGTACTTAAAAAAATGATTTTAGTGAAAAAAATTCTTGACATATGACATGCAATGCTCTTTTAATAAATGTTATTTCACCCAATTGCTATATAATATTATAATCAAAGGCGACGAGACATACTATTATGTTTGAATGACAAATAAAGGTTTCTGCCGATAATTAAGAGAATTATTTAAATAAGGAACGACGACCTCTTCCCGAAAATAATTCAACTCAATGGTCATCTATGTTAAGCATGAATTTGTAAACCAAAATGATCACATTCAAGCAGTAGCACAATAATGATAATAGATAGCATTAAACTTACATGACTACCTTCACAATCCTTAAATACTATTTTTTCAGCCTCGTCCAATGTTTTTAATCCGATCCAATCTTCTTTGTACAACTTTTGTTCACGGACAGGTACAACATTTCCTTCTTCATCATAGAACGAAAACCACTATAGATAAAATTAACATATATATGGTAACATATATTACAATTACAATTAGAATTGTTATTTGAAATATAAATATATCTTTAGACTAGCTATTGAGTGAGTTGATTCATTTTGATTTTGAATTGAATAGACTCGAATCGAATTGGGTCTAATCCAAAATCAAAAGGTCGAATTGAGAGATCATAAAAAAATCGATTTATAATTTAACGATTTGTGAGGTAACTTTTAGAATTGTGCAGATTCGAGTCACGTCGCTACTTACAGCAGTATCTCTTGGCTTGAGGGTTGTATCTTCAGTGAATCTAATCAGCACAAGTTTATTAAGAGTCACCAGATTCTTTTTATAAGTTTCATTCTTAACTTCAAGTTCATTATTAATATCCGGTAAATAGATATTTTTCTTGAGATAAAGTTCAAGCCTCAACGGATCCTTAAAGTATTGTGCTTGGATTACATGATCCCGTACATATCCTGAATAAGCGCCTTGACTAGCTATTGATCGCATTAATCTACACCATCCGTCATTTTTTTCACAGCCCGGAATATCAGATACACCTACAAGATGTGAGAGGATTAGAATGTAATGAAAGGTGAGATTCGGATCCATTTGAACTGATCCATGCGAAACACTACTTACCGTTATGTGGTGACCCAAAAGTTATCAAGTTATACACTGGTGGATCATTGCAACGTTGGACATATGCGCTTTAATTGGTAAGAGAATTTTTTTTTTAAAAAAAAAAGATAATTTGAAAATGAAAATGGATGAACAAGAATGACATTTTTATGAACAAGCTTACCGAAGGAATTGACCACCCTTAATATAAAAAGCTCGAATCAATTAAATTATCCAATTAAATATTTAAAATTTAAAAAAAAACGCCGATTATTTAAGTATTCTCATGAGCCTTACTTGAGAAAATCCAATGGCATTGAAACCGTATTTAAGATTCTCGTCAGCTTTCAATTTCTCACAAACACTATTAACCTATACAAATATAACAGATATTAAAATAATTTGAAGAATATAGTTATTGCATAACTGAAAAAAAGGATATTAACCTCTTCGTTTATGTTTCCAAAAAAGCTAGATTTTTTGTCTTCACTTTCATCCTTGCCGATCATTATTGAATATGTGTAAATTCCAGGTAAAACATCATTGATGGTTTCCTGAATCTTACCCATGCTATCAGGGTTGCAACACGTATCTCCCATTCCATGCCAGATCACAACAGGTCGATAAAATGCTATGTACACATGTTTGCACAGATTTACAAATAAACAAAATTTAGTTAATTTTACATTTATATAACTTAGTATATATGTTGTAGTGGAAAAGGATCTTAATAAAATAATAATTTTGGGGTAGAATTTTATTCTATATAAATCTACACCCCTAAAATCCTAGATTCCAAATTCACTAAATTCCGTTCCCATTTACAATACAACATATATATATAACGAACCTTTTACATAGCCAACTAATACAAGTAGGATTAGGATAAAGATTGAAAAATGTTTCATGATACAGATAGTACGTAATGTAAAAATAACCTCAATGTCATTATATATAATCCATTTGGTGAAGCTTTACTTCAATTGGTTGATTATTTAATAATATTTATCTACATAAAAGTAAACCACGTTCATTTGTGAATACAATAACAATTACGGCAAATGATAACGATATTGATATCAATGACATTATACTTATACGTACAATTCGCACATTATACGTATGAATATAAATTTTAAAAATACGCCTTTTGACTAATCTTATCCATAATTATTGTTTCACACATTATAGTTATGTCTTTTCATCAGTTACAATAAGTATATAATTTTTATACATATAAACTATGTAGATGACAGGATTACAAAATACTTCTGTTTCATTTAATCTTAACGCCTAACCCTTAACTAACTCTTAAACCCTTAACTCTAAATTTATTAGTAAAAATATTATGACACACGTACGTATGTAGATGCACTTTTGATTTTCTGTAACATAAAATTAATATAACGAAAATATACACAAAATATAAAAATAAAATAACTAGTATTTTAGAGTTTGCAGTTACAGAATGCACGATTTGCAGCCTGTTTCCAAATTTAGATGAAGCTAAAATTAAAAATAACAATAATTTATTCCACCAATTACACTGTACAACCTTCTGGATCTCCGTCCGATAACATTCGGTGAGAATTCCGCAGGCTTTTGACTGGTTTATATTATCGCTATATATCGCTATATTTAAAATTTCTTTGTTAATTCTATTCGGATATATATATATTTTTTTAAAATAGTATAAATATAAATGTAAATTACAAATAAAAATCTTATAAATGATAATTGATAATTACAATTAACAAAATTGGAATTTTCCTCTTATTGATCTAAATTTGATAGAACGTTAGACTCGTGCAACTTATTTACCATTTTATTCAAATCGATGATCTTTGCGTTTGTTCATTTTTTTTTATTTTCTAAATTTTTCTTTTTTTTTCGCTTATAAAAAAAATCTTTATATATTTTCTCTTATAGAGTTAGAATTCTACGTTAACTAGTATTTAAAAGGCTGGTTTACGACTAGAAATTTCTACTTTGGCTCGGCCCTCATTTAAAAAAATGTTGCCGTTTAAACATGCAAATAAAGTTTTATCTGAAGAAACATTAATGAAGCTTTCAAATTCTTCAACTACTATCGCTATGGATAATGAATCTTTATGGATTGATGGAAAATGGATAAAAGATTCTACTGATCGTACTTTAATGTTTCGTGGTATAAATTTATCCGGCTCTTCCAAAAATCCTCCAAATATACCTTCGCATGTACTCGAAGGTTTTTTTGATCATAGAAATGTTAGCTTTATTGGAAGACCTTTTCCCTTAGAAGAAGCTGACCAACATTTCTCTCGTTTAAAACATTGGGGTTTTAATTTTTTGAGATTTATTGTTACTTGGGAAGCTCTTGAGCACCAAGGACCGTAAGTTATTCAACTTCTTTAATTCCCCTTCCTCTCTAAAAAATTTATTTATTTATTTATTTATTTATTTTTATATTTCGGCTTTAGTGGCATATATGATTTTGAATTCATTGATTTTATCATTAAAGTCCTTCAAAAAGCCAAAGAACATGGCTTTAGATGTTTTATTGATCCTCATCAGGATGTGGTACGTTATTTATTTCATTTTTTATTATTATTTAATATTCGTTTTTTTTTTGTTTTTTTTTTTAATCCAAAATTTTCTATTTAATTTAGTGGTCAAGGTTTTCTGGAGGTTCCGGGGCTCCCGGATGGACTCTTGACCTTGCCGGTTTAGATATGAAAAAATTCGTTGCTACTGATGCTGCCATTGTTCATAATACTTATCATGATCCAAAACATTATCCTAAAATGGTTTGGTCAACTAATTATTATAAACTCGCTTCTGCTACCATGTTTACATTATTTTTTGCTGGAAAATTATATGCTGAAAAATGTATCGTTGATGGTGTCAATATACAAGAATATTTACAATCCCATTATTGTAACTCTTACAAAACTTTGGCAACAAAAATTTGTGAGGCCGGTTTTCATGATTCTTTGGTGATAGGTTATGATTCTATGAATGAACCAAGCTGGGGTTTTGTTGGTGCTAAAGATTTGAATCATATCCCTGATCATCAAGAATATAGACGTGGGAGAACTCCAACTCCTTTTCAAGCAATGTTACTAGGTGAAGGCCATGCTTGTGATTTACAAGTATGGGATATCACTTGGTATGGTTTTGGTGTTGTTGATTCTGAGCATATTGATCCAAAAGGTGTTACCGCTTGGTATGATAGTGAGCCTGCTAATTATCCTTGGAATAAGTCTCCCGAATTTCCTAAAGGTTGTATTTGGGCTGCTCATGGTGTATGGGATAAAGAAACAAAAACAATATTATGTCCTGATTATTTTGCAAAAAATCCTCGTACTGGTGAACCAATAAATTGGAATCAAGATTGCTATAAACCTTTTATCGTTCAATATGCTGAAACTATTAGATCTGTACATTCAAATGCTGTTATATTTGTTCAACCACCTGTACTTGAATTACCACCAGATATGATTAATGGTCCAAATCCTCTAAAACGTATTATGTATTCTCCACATTGGTATGATGGGTTAACTTTGACACAAAAACAATTTAATTGGTATAATGTTGATGTTTTGGGTATCAAAAGGGGAAGATATCGTAACCACTTTAGTGCTATCAAAATAGGTAATAGTGCAATAAGAAAAAATTTTTCGGAACAAATTGAAATGACTTTAACTGAACGTGTTAGTTTAGTTGGTATGTAATGGATTTATGTTTATTCTAACCTTTATTTTTCTGCTGTTTCATACTATATATAATATATATATATAGATATTTTTTAATGATTCACTAACTAAATAAATTTAAATATTACAGGCAATGTTCCGAGTGTGATAGGAGAGATAGGTATACCATACGATCTGGATAATCGTAAAGCTTACGAAAGTGGTGATTACAAACAACAAATAAAGGCAATGGATGCAAATTTACAAGCACTCGAAAGTAATCTTGCAAATTATACTTTATGGACTTACGTCCCTGATAATAATAATGAGTGGGGTGATCAATGGAATGGTGAAGATCTTAGCATTTATTCAGCTCCTTTGGAAAGCCTTGAGAAAATTCATTCAATGATGTCAACACCAGATTCGAATCAAATATTAGATTTAGGAGGCAGAGCATTAGAAGCTTTATTAAGACCGTTTCCTCTTAGAACTAACGGTGAACCATTAAGCATATCATTTGATCCCCATAAAAAAGTATTTAAATACAAGTTTAAAAATGACAAATTCAACCCAGAAAAGAGTACACCAACCGAAATTTACTTACCTAGATTTCATTACCCTGAAGCAGATGATTTTTCTATTACATTCTTTAGTGGGTATGCAGATTTCCAAAGAGATCAACAGCTATTATTGTATTGGCATGATATTGGTGATCCCGCAGATGATAGGAATAATGATCCTAATTTTGGAATTCATGAGATTATTGTTGAATTCAAGAAACCACTTGTTGGCGGTGAAGGAATTTGGGATGATTGTTGTTAATTGTAATAAATTTGTCCTTATTTTGTTTTTATAGGATGAGACGGGGTTCTTCTGTCTATTATATAAATGACTTATGCATTAATGACTCTTTGTTTTTAATACATTAATATAGAGCGAAAAAAAAATTCTTATTTAATTGTGTTTTTTTTTTCTTATGTATACTAAAGAATTTTTAGTAGATTTGATTGACTTTTTTGTTTTCGATTACGTGGAATATGTAATATTTTACATAGGAAAAGAGGGTAGGATAATCCTTCTTCCTTTCAGAATATCTTGTATATGTATTGGTACTTTGTGTATCATTAAAAAACAAAAACAATAATTCATTTTTAGATTGCTTAATACTATAATGTTGAAATGTTATATTGGATTGTACATAATAATATTAGGTTTATGAATCAAGTATATAATCATAATTTCAATGAAGAAGACCTCAGAGAAAAATTGTTAGTAAATTTATATAGAACGATTTCTACACAATCGTACCGTGTCTCCAATCGAGCGTGATAAGATTGGGTTGTGTCACTTATAATAATTATCTTGGAATCTTAGTTTATGTTTTGTATAAATACTAATAGTTAAAAATTAAATCTCTCAAGCGTGCTTAGAGAGTAGTTTACAGTATACTTATGTTTAAACAATTTTAATATCGATTCTTTAGTGATGGTATTATCCCACTTTAGAAATTGGTCTTTGATTTTTGAAGACACTTACAATTCACCTAGATTCGTCACGCAAAAGAAACTACTTTTCAAAAGCAGAATGCGAAAGTCGAGGAAACTCGAATACAACAATTGTTCAAAAAAAAGTTCAAACATCATTCGTGTTTATAAATAAAAGAACTCATCTTATTGTCCTACGAGTAGGGTATCTGAAATGAGATAATTTCTTTACGCAAATTACCCAATCCCTGAACAGCTAATTTTAGAAGTAAAGGTATGTTTTCTGTTTTTCTCCTTATTATATAATATCAAAAATCTGTTATCGTTACATAAACTACGGCCTAATCCTCGCCCAGGTCCTAACTCTAACCCTAACTCCGATCAAAGTGACATATGACTAGATTGAAAATTACATATTACTAACATATTACAGTATAACCTTGATATAACGAAGCTCTTGAGAAATAATCTTCGTTATCGTTATATCGAGGTTACTGTATTTCAGAAATATGAATTTCATGTAAATTTTACACGTGATATATAGTATCAGCACTATGAAAAACTTAGCTAGCATTATTGAAATTCAATAGGTTCTGCACAAAGTTTGGTAGACGTAATTGTAAATTTTGATCACATGAGCAAAGCGAATGTTTAATATGATTGGCTGATTTTTGCAGATCATGTTATCTAATGAAATTAAATTAACAAAAAATAAACTTAAGTACACTTTCAGCTCTATAATATATCAAAGTAATTTAGTAATTGGTGAGGTAATTCAGAAGTTAGATGAGAGATACACGTTCCAATTTAGCAAAGAAGTATTTATTAAAGCTTGGTAATTTACTTTCAAAAATAATTTATTTTAATTTATAATTCTAAAAAGATAATATTGGTAGTAAAATATATTAGTGACGCGAGGCAATGAAATGTAGACTTGTAGACTTCATGAGAGGTTAATGTTAAAAGCATAGTGTTATGTTCAAAATTAGAGATGGGCATCATGCGCATGAATGCATGCATGCGCGTAGTTTAAAATAATAATTATATTTAAAATTTTAAGCAAAGATATCTTAGAAACTACTAATCAAAGTAAATAAATTTTTTATTTTAATTCTCTATAACTGTTTCATGTCTGTAAAAAATAGTTGTAATAGCTAACACCAAATTACCAATAAATTATCACCACAAAGTATAGGCTTAAAAAAAATAATAATAATAAATTCTTTATATTTGTAAAATTAAATAAAAAAAAAGTTTATTAAATTTGGTTAAATAGTTAAGTTAATTTTATTTTTATATATTTTAACTATTTTAATTTTTTTAAAACGTTAAATAAATTATTTTAGTAATTATTTAACCAATTTATAATATTTTTTAATCTTTATATTTTAAAATTAAAATAAAAAAGTTTATAAAATTTTGTTAAATAATTGTAATATATCTTCAAAGTTGTAAAAAATTTCTATATTATTGTTTTTTAATTTTTCAAATCTTTAACAAAAATTAGCAATTATCTAATTAAATTAAATAAGTCTTTTTTATATTAGTTTTTTATATTTATAAAATTAAAATAAAAAAATAGTTTGAATTAATTAGGTAATTATTAAAATATTTTTATTTAAAATTATAAAAACCAAAATTTCAAACTGTATATAGTATTTATACATGTATGCAATATATTATAATATGTATAATATAGAAAAACATTATTTTATTATTTTTATTCAAAAGTATTAATTTAGAATTAAAATTAAATTAATTTTATATTAATAGAATTAGATATTAAAGTTTTAAATTATGTAATAAAATTAATTAAAAATATTATACAGTAAATATTAAAATAGTAAGAAAAACAATAAAACATAATAAATCAAATAGATATTTAAAATTACAAATAAAGTAATACATCTTTTAATTAGATTTATAAAAAAATATAATTTAAAAAAATATTTTTATAAATAAAAGTCTACAAATTACTTATTATTATAATTCAATTCAGCTTTTATTTAACTTTAAAAATTTAACATTCTAATTCAGTTTACATATATATAAATTTTTTTCAACCTAATTTGGTTTACAAAATTTTATTATAAAATTTAAAAAATGTTTAACTTACTTTAACTTGCAGTTATAAAATTTCGCTTTAGACCCAACCTGATCTATGAAAATTAGCAGGCTGGGTTAGGCTAAACTGAGTTATAAAACCCAATACAAACCTTTATTTACAACTAATAAAATTTGAAACTGACTTTGAAATTGCAAAAATAGAAATTAGAAATAAATATCAGCTTAAATATCTTCTTTGAAAAGTAGTACAAAGTTAGATTACTTTAAGTAAAATAAGGAAAGTAACATAAGACCAAAGAGTTTAAATAAATAATTTAAACAGACTTATTCCAGATATAACAACTAGTATAGAACCTTTAAGTAACCTACTTAAATTAGACAATACAAGTTGTACATATAGCTAATTGTGCTTTCACAATATGTATCATGATTCCTATAAAAAATACCAATAAAGATTAACTAATGATATTTGTAAAATGAAAAAAAATTAATAATTAATAATAAATTTGAATATACAAAATGTTATGCAAACATCAAAAATACATAATTTTAAATACGTATATAAATTAAAATTTTGTTTGTATTACATGAAATACGATGAAAGTTGTGTGAATGACGGTTGCAATATGGTTTATTACCGTATCTTACGTAAGGTTATGCGGTTTTACGAAAATAAAATCATCTTGCAAATATTATTTATTGTATAAAAGATGAACAAAAAAATTATCTATATGAAATATAACCTGTTGCTTGTGCTAACAGGTTTTTAAATTTTAAAGTTTGGCGGAAATGAGAATACAAAGTCTAGAAAGATGGATGTGTCAAATAGGCAAGGGACATGAACATTGCATAGATCGATATGCTTAAATGTATTTTTATCTAAATGTGTATCTTAAAATTTGATTGGTCAGTATATTATTACTATACTTAAACTTGTTTAAAAAAACTATACGTTATATTTCCCCTCGATCTAATTGGATAAAAATCACGAGGGGGAGGGAAAGCTATACTTTTGAATTTTTAATATTTGGTCGGCAGCTCGGGACTTTCTTGAAATAATGGTATTCGTCCTAATCGAAGTTCCTATTTACAGTGTCCAGATCGAAAGAATCGGACTTTTAACAATCCTATTTATCATATTAATTTATTTATACCTTTCTCAGATAGCGATAGAGATTATACCTGAGTAGACATTTTTATTATGGTTATATTAATTACCCGGATGACCGGGTAATTTAATAATACTCAGGTAAAAATCTTCTTGACAGGTACAATCTCTAGCGCCAAATTTTCGATGTTATGGTATAAAAAGCTTCATATACAAATTTTAATTTGATGGACAGATAATACCAGTTAATATAATGGACACAAAGTTTAGACACGAGGCAACTAATATTTTTATCTTGGCTATAGTTAGTGTGATTAAGCCTCAAGAATTTCCTTCTTACAACATACAAAAAAAAGGAATCATGTGGTTTGAGAAAGTTGAAGATCTAATTGTGACTCGGGTAAGTGTTTTTAAAAAAAAATCCAATTCGATAAAATGATAATTTCTGAAACATGAAAAAAGATAGTTGTCTTCCGGCAAGCCAGATTTGAACTAGCGACCTAGAGATATCAGCGTTGAACGGTATGTTCACTACAGTCTCCCGCTCTACCAACTGAGCTATTGCCGGTTTTTATTGTAAGAGGCTTTTTTTCTTAAATAAAGAATGTGTACCGGATTAACAAGAATCTTGTTTGTTTGTCGACGCAGTAAATCGTGGCACAAAATCATTGGCATAGATACGCTTATCGTCAAATACGCGTACCAAAAGCCAAGCCATTATTTCAATTAGATATTTATATCGGATCTACATACTTAGTCGAGATTTATGTTATACAGTATCAAAGATCGTACATTGAATAGTTTCACTAACTGAAGATCATTAGTAGGTATATAGTATGCTTGTAAGTATGCCGATTTGGTAATTCATTACTCTCACAATATGGGGACCTTCACAGCAAAAGAAGGCAGTGGGCAAGAAAAAAAAATATTTTTTTTTAAACTCAATTTCTTGAAGAATTAAAGTATCAGAAATACAATTTTTATAAAATTACAAAATCAAATTTTTTTGCCAACTGCCTTCTTTTGCTGTGGGAGTTCTCATATGTAAATTCTCCTCAAGATTAATTCGATCAATTCAATTTTACATTACGTTGAAGCCGGCAGGGCCTCCGGACTATATATTATAACTCCATAGTAAATGTTAATGATCGCATGATGATGAATTGCATGTACGTGCTAGTACTAATACAGTATAAAAGAATTGTATCTAGATTATTTACGTAATTTGTGCTCTCAGAATTTTAGTTCAAAACCAATCTTAATTTATCAAATGTATAGCGACAATTCATAGATAGGTAAAATTGAAATGAAGTTATGTACACTAAAGATACATTCTTTGTATTAAATTTGGTAAATACTTATATTACACGAAATTTATTTCAGGGTAGCTAACAACTATAAAAATTTTGATATCATCTTTTGCAAGTCTTAAACAAAAGTATGTATATTTTACGTTTGTTTTAACAATTCAATACTGATTAATAATTAAGATACGATTCTTTTTAGTCCATTACTTTCTTTTTTTTTTTTTTTAGCTTTCCTAGAATATCCGCAATATTTTTACACCGGATTTCTTTAATCTATTCGACTCTCTTTAAATAATGACAGATCCTGTAATTGTCGATGACTCTAGTGCAAGAAATCGATATTCTTATCTTCAATGGGTCCCACAAAATTCGTTAAGTGAGGGAGGTCATAATATATCGAGATCAATGTCATTACATCTCCATTCGACTTTTCGAAGAATTTTCGTTGGTCCGACTCCGGTAAATTGGAACTATAAAAAGAAATCTTTTTGGTTCTCTAAAAGTGAAAGGGCTGTACATCACGGTTCAAGAAGAAAAAAAACTTTTAGAGCCGCCACTGATGTTATTGGTACAACTAATATGTCTTCTCTCGATTATAATGTTTCTGATGATCGATGGTAATTATTATTTTTGAAATATTGTTTGATATTATTAATCTATTTGTACCCATTATTAACATGTTTTAAAATGCAGTGAAGAGCAAAATATTATATCAGATACTCCTTTCCTTGTTGAAGAACCACAAGAGTTGGAAATTATAGAGTCTGATACGGAACGTTCAATAATGAACAGAGAAATCTTTTATACACCAACTGAGGATATAAATTCTTTTTCTGTTACACCGCCTCACAATCCTCGTTTGTTTAATTCAAAAAAAAAATCTCAACTTCAATCATTATCATTGAATTTACAAATTTTGCAACAAAATGTCAAATCTCCTGAAGAGAATGATAATGTTTCGGTACCATCAACAAATTCGTCAAAATATTCTATTAATCATGATGAAATAAATGATCGAGGATTTAATGCATATAATGATGTTGAATGTTCCAAGTCCTTTATTAGTGCGGAATCGGAGTTTTTTAAAACACCTGTTTGTGAATCAGGAATTGTCCTCAAAGAGGATCGTGTATTAATTAGAATCGAGCGTGTGTACCATTCAGGTGCTCCAAGGATATATAATTATTCCACCTCAAAGAAATATCTTACTTACTCTATAGGATGGAGAGAGTATAATGTGAAATTAACATCTGATAAAGTTGAATTTTATAAGAGTAAGGCAAGTCTCACGCTAAGTTTTTTGTTTCAAGATTTCTGTAAAAATTTATTACAATCAAATTATATTTTAACTTCTTTAATTTTACAGGGTAAGCTTGTTGATAAATTAAGTTTTTCTTCTTCAACGCGATTATGTCTCTATTCGTCTGTTGACTACACAATAGCTTTATCTGATCCATGTGACTATGGAATGAAAGTATTTATATTCCGACCAAAAACTTATGCCCTAAGTATCGAATGGTATCGCGCTTTATATAATTTACTTAGACCACCATCAATTAAACCAGTGCCTCCTATTTGTGATGTGGTTGTACCCGATTTAAATGTTCGAGTGCAAATTCCATTAGAAGACAGAATGCAAGCATTCAAAATCACCGCGGAGGAAATAACTAAAACTGTTTTGGATGAATTGAGCGGTATAAACGAATGGGAAGATGTGTTAAATGAATGGCTGAAAAATAGTGATATAAGATTATGTTGGAAAAGTTATGATCGGATAGAATGGATTGTTTGGGAAAAAAATGATAATGAAAAGGATAGGAATGACTTATTAGCGTGTCCGCAATTTATTGAAGGAGTATGTTATTATTCTCTTAAATTTTATTGAATTTTGTTTATCACTACATATTTTTACGCTTCTTTACATATTTTATTCCTATCATGTGCATTTTAATAGACCCATCAATTACAATTGCGGTGCACACAACACTATCCAACATCTGTAACGTTACCTGATGAAACAAAGTTGCAGGTATATACATATATTTGTTGAATTGATATTAATCTACTTTTGTAAATATTCATGATTTTTAAACACTTCCTGTTATAGGAACCACCACCAGTTGAAGGATATCTTATTAGAGTCACAAACGATAAAGGCCGTAAAAACAAGTCAAAACGACTGTACTTTTCGTCACATGATCACTATTTATTTTTCATGAATCCATCCTTTGCAAGTCCACCACCACCACCATCATCATCACCATCAGGGTCTGGATCGACGGAGGATGAAAAACTCAATAAAAAACGTCCATTAATATATGCTGTTGCCCCACACGTTCAAGGACAAGAACATTCTGCTGCTTTTATTAAGGCTGACATTAAAAGACGCGCTAAGCAAATTTTAAATGCATATGGATTCATTAATTTGATCGATATTGTGGAAGTAAAACCCTTAATTAACGATAATAATGAGGGTACATGTGAAAATGAAAATTTCGAAGATATATCTAAAGAACATAAATCCGAAGGAAAAGGATGTCCTTTTGAACTGGTCATGTCGAATGGAATGACTATTATTTTAGAGGTTGTCCATTATGAACGTTAATTCCTTGTTAATTACTGTATTTTCTGTCGATTCATATATATATATTTTTAATATCATTTCATGATTTTTGTAGGCATATTCTAAAATAACCATGAAAGAGTGGGTAAAATGTCTTAATGCACTTGTCAAATACTGGAAAGCTCGACTTGCAGATGATATTAAAATTCGAATTAGTATGCTTAAATCAAATCAGTTTAATGATTATGATGATAATGGTGTACATATAGGTGATGATTTTCATGGACATTGGGATAGTTTTCGATCATATACCAGCACTACCATTTGGCACTGGTGTATTCTAAATGGGTGTCGAGGTATTATGGTAAGCTACTTGTTCATTATATTAAAAAAATAATTTTGCATAATATTTACTTATAATTTAAATTATTTACAGAAATCTGGCTTATTATATCAAAAAGCCCGCTTCTATGGCACTTTCATTAATTATTATCATATCTTGACAAGAGGTTACTTAATATTTTACCAACTTCAATCTTGGTCAATAGTTGGGAGAAAAAATCGTCGAAGTTATCATAGGCAGAAAGGCATCATCAATTTATTGGATTGTTATATATATTCTGGTCATTTAACTGATCATGATTTGCCTCATTCTAGCACTTCACATAAATTAGGCAATGAGGTGCTCTATCTGCCTAGAATATACAGTGATGGAATGTGTTGTTTTGATGATGACGATGAATGTACATTTGTTGTTTGGCAAGGTAACAAACATCATGTAATCAAAAGACATGGAACTATTGGTCTTGAATTGCAAAAGAAAACAACGTTAGATTCTTCTGGTAAAGCTTGGATATTTCGAGCTAGAAATAGGATTGAAAGAGAAGAATGGGTTTGGGCATTAAATGTTGAGATTGAAAGGTGCTTAATGGAACAAAAAGGTGATGCTGAATAATAGTAATATAATATTAAGTTCATGTAAGTTTGTATATTAAAAAAGCCGATAATTTAACTAATTTTTTTGGATGGGATATATAGTGTTGGACAATTTTACTTTATAAAGTATTTTGCTGCCAAATCCGGGAGATTACAATACTTTATGATTTTTCTTGAAATTATCAAATATTAGTATAAGTGTATTTAATGTTCATAAGTGTAATTATAGCATCATTAGCAATATGGCATAGTTAGATAAATATAAAACATCTGACTTCGAAAGTATATTAATAAAATTAGTGATATAGTATTGGTTCTTTAAACAAGATGTTTTGCATTACAGTCTAATTTGCGTGTATTCAAAAAAGTCATTTTCAGTTAAATTATGATTTAAAAATATTAACATTGAAGTCAAAAATATAACGATATATTATCTCCGAATTAAATTTAGATTATTTGTTATTGATAATTTTATCTGCTTTGTTAAATCATACCACTGGTGCTCATCACCACTATAATCTAGGGTCGGGTCGGGTTGGGTTTTACTTTAAATTAGGCCCAGTCCGCTGGTCTATAAGAACAATTGTTTCTTTTTAACAATAGGGGTTTTCAGTATAATGAATTAAACGGGGCATATTATGTTTGAAATAAACTGTTTACGAATTTTATTATTAATATAACCATTTTATTTCTAAACTAGATATGATGATTAAAATTGATATGTCTAAACATATCTCTCATCTAACTTATACCTTATTTCGCTGATTATTAAATTACTTTAGTATGTTGTTGGGCTGAGGTGTACTTTTTAAAGTTTTATAACTTCAGCAAATGAGATAATCTGTAACCAATCATAATAAACATTTGTACTCAATGTGTGACATTTAGGGCTCTGCAAATACTCATGCCATGCAAATTGGCATTATGTCAGGCACTAGTGTTTCGTGTCATGCTCATACCTAAGCTCAAAAGTGTCAGGAATTATTATATATAGTTATAGGAACAAATGTTAGACATTTTATAAATATAAGCACAAATATCAAGTAGGCATAGATACAATATACTAAATAAAGATATTAATAAAATGTTAAACACAAGTGTTTTTTTTTTTTTTTGGTGTTAAGGTGACTTCTTTGGTCTTTTGACTTTTATTAATAACTTTTTTGGTAATGTGATTCTATAAACCATTACAGAAAAAGTGTACAATTGGTTACATATGTTACATTTTTATATTACCTATTTAAAAAGTCTGTCTAAAGGTTTTTTACCAATTGTTATACCTAACATTTCTGCTTAAGTGTTCTATTTTAAACCTTCTGAATCTGCACTTGTATTAACATTACTAAGTCAAGCTTAGATTATAATTTCAACTTTAGGACTATTTTATCTTTAAAGTAAATCTTTTGAAGTTTTTTGCATCTATTATTATAGTTGACTCAGTATTGTTATTGTAGAATTAATATTTGTGATCAGAGTTATATTATTTAATTATTATGTTCTTGTAAAGTTTATCCAAACTTTAGCATTTACTTCACAGCATATCTCTTGTACTTTAGTATATCCCTGTCTTTTTCTCTAGTTTGTTATAGCAGTCTGATTGGTGATACTTTTAAGACTTATAATCTAAAAATTCTTGACCATTTGAGTATTATAATCTTGGTATTTATTTCTTAAGTCTAGCTTTTATAGTAGTACCATCAAAGATCTGTATTATCTTTTTATTCAGATCTTTCTAAATAGTCTTCTTGTTTCTTAATTTTAATGAATCTATATAGACACAAGAACTTATCTAGAGTTTGCATTACCTGATACTAATTTGCATTCTTTTATATAATACTATACTTATACAGATGTTTCATAATTTGTCAGTTATGCTAGTGCAATTATTATTACAAGTATTCTATTACAAGTATTTTAATCCAATCATTAAAAATAGTTGTTGTAATACAAATATTATATAAGTGATTATTTAAATTTTCATCATTGATAAGATTTAAACACCCAACTTATCACTTAGAAAATTGATAGCTTATTTATTTTACTAAGTTATCATATTCTGTTAAATACAAGTATTTTTTTTTTTTTTTTTTTTTTTTATTGTTAAGATAAGGTCATGCCCTCAAGTCTTTATTAGTATACTGATTATAGCTAGTACAATTTTTATCATACATCATCTATCACTATATATTTATTCAGACATAGAACTCAGACGTCTTTATTTGTGACCTAAACCTACCAGAGCTTTGTATTGTATCCCACTTACACCTAACCTGGATTTTTGTTTCACTACCAATTATATTAGGTAATCTGCATATTTCCCCCATGTCTCACAACCTATTTTTCATAACTCCCAAATTGGTCCACCAGGTCGTTTGCTCCTTTTAAGCTTCCATCTTTGGTTTGCCCAAAGGGTGCCTCTCTAGCACGTATCTCAAGCCAGGTTCCTGCTGCTGCTGCCATTTTCCC